CGGGTTGTAGCGAGACATCCGGTTCTTATGTAGTCTTCCGGAACAGAGGATTTTCATCTGCTTGAGAAATCCTTACTTGTCTCTAGCATTTCCGATTAAGATATCCAATTTCCATATCACTGAATTTGATTAAGTCTTCAGGCATCAAAACGCTTAAAGAAATATCACAACCTTATTGGAAAACTCAAGAACTTGGTTTTAACAATATTTCTAAAAAGAAAAATTACATTGAATATTGGGGGAGACCTAAAGTCCCTATTACATTCTAAATACATCATCATCAAAATCTATGATATTTTTCCCAACAATCTTACAAGCACGCGTGACATCCCCATAATCATAAAGGACAACAACATCACTTTCTGACATCCCAAATGTTTCTGTGCATCCATAAAAAATGACACCGTCTCTTGAATATTCTGCTTGGACAGTGTGGTCTCGCTGATTGTCACGAGAAACATCAACAACAATATCAGCAACGGTAACAGGAACAACATCTATGGGATCAATAATAAGATCATCATCGGGAACACTAACAGGATCAATAAAAATTTCCTTTTCAAAATCCTGGTCCTGAAAGGTTGAGTGCCGATGAGTTTCCATATAGAGTGCATCATGGTCGTTTTGAAAATGTAAAACTCTATAGGAATCAGGCTCAGCATAATTGGGAGACCGCGAACTAAATCCTGTATTGAACAAGAGGCCTCTACGGCGAACGCATTACCTCAGAATCATATTTTGGTTGATCTTCAATTTGACGGAATGTCTGAAGTTCTTTTATAATCTCATCCACGGAATCTTCAACTGCACACACTCCTTCATAAAATTCAATTTGTCCCCGTAGAACTTTCTCGAGTAAACCAAGAACTTTGTCCAACAGTGAGTCCATTGTCAAAATAAACACCACCACAAAAATATCACAAAAAAACACCTCAAGCCGGCGATTAATTTGAATCAATTTTTTTTAGATGGTGCAATTGAGGTAGAATTGCTTCACCCAAAAAAAATATACCCTGGAATGACTAGCCCAAGCAAAGAATTGGCAATGAAACAATCTATTGCCAACTCAAATTTAATCAACAACTCACCTCTTTTTGTGTCCCGAATTATTGTCCACCAAGTTATATGGTCCACCAAGTTATATAGGCTACTCTTTGATGTGCGGCCTATGGTGGCGGCAACCCGGATGGTCTCCTTCGATTTACCACAAGCACCAAAAGTGTAGAATTCCCGTGATAGAAACAAAATTGTAGCACCTCGATCTTCAATTGATTTCAAGAATTGATATGGCGGCGAAGCAGGTCTGGTCGATTAAAACTTTTTTTTTTGTTGTTTTTTTTTCAAAATTTTTTGTGAGTTCATCAATGAAACCACCAATTGATACGGTATCGTATCGGGATAGGGAAGGTTGAGCACCTTCGAGCTATAGAATTGGGGAAAAGGAAGAGAAGAGAGAATTGCACGACACTTTGTTCGGCGGAATAGAAGAACGAGAGGGAAGAGGAAGAGATTAGGGTTTAGAGAAAATGGTTTCTTATTGATTTAATAATTCTAAACACGTACATCTCAATATATAGAATGGAACTCTAGAATCCTAAGAGAGTCCAATCTCTAAAAGAAACTAAATAAAATAAGAAACTAATTAATAACCTAACAAAAATAATATTCTCTAATAATAATTAACTAACCATATATAATACCTTACCTATAATAATAATAATACTAATAATAATAATGATAATAATAATCCCGTAACATGCCCGTCGACTTGATACCAGGTCGTAGCAAGCCAAAGAACATCGGCGTTATTTGTCCCGCTCTTTTGGGACTGAGTGTATTCCTCGTAAACTCCGATAAACATTCTGACTTTACAGTTGATGTGGTTCTATTTGAAAGTGAGTTGGTACGATACAAGGCGTCCTTGTTCATCACCGCAAAGAACTTCTCCTCGATACGATCCCACATCGCATCCTTCCTTTGCTCCGAACCTTTAAAAAGTATTTAATTGAACAAAAAAATTTTAACAAAAATATATTAGAAAACATATAATTTTTACCAACGATAGGATACTCGGAGGCGTTAACCCAAGCCGACACCAACATGCACTCTTCCTCCCGCGTCTACTTTTGGATTGACCGTGCCGCCTCAGTCATCGGTTGGGTGCCTTTTGCTTTGTGACTTTTCCAGCGTGCACTTTTTTTGGTTCCCGATGGTTCCAGTCGAGTCTTTGAAACTGACTCCCGTTCATAGAGGTACACCGATGGTTGCGTTTCGAAAAATGTTGGATTACTCTCGTATTGTTGGAAGATCCACATGGCGTGCTCGTTAGGCTCAAGATCGTCGTGGGAAAAGCCGGAGCCGGAGTGATTATGTTAACTAAAATTGAAGAAATGAAAGATGTGAAGAAGATTGAGAATTGGAGATTGAAGAAAGGAAAGATGTGAAAAAGATTGAAGGATTGAGTTTGATATTTATAACAAAAATAATTAAACAATTTTTTTAAGGTTAACGGCTAAATTAGTCGTTGGGGGATGGAGAGCTACGTCAAACTTTGATGCAAACTTCTGACGTCGGCCTAACGCCCATAGGGGGCGATGTTTAACGCCCATGTGGCATTAAACGCCCCATGGCGCCCCTCGACATTACATGCGTTTCCACTACTCTTAGGAGGGTGTATTCATTTGAGATTATAATAGATTTTGTTAGACTCTAAAAATTTGGTGAATTTTGAAAATTCATAGACTCTGTGTAGAGTTTGTCTAACTCTTTTATTGATTTACATGAATTTCATAGATTTTGAGGCACAGAGGGGGCCTCTCTCTTCATAGACTTTAATTTCCCATCTATTTCTGATTATAGCAAAGATGCTGCCCAGGTCTTCCTCTCTCTCCATAAACTATTTCCGGTCTATTTTCTGATTCTATTGAAGTCACTACGCTCGCCAATCTGTTTCAGATTCAAGTGAAATCAGAACCCAATTGAAGTCATCTCTCTCTCTTAAAAAAACGTGTCCGGTCTATTTTCCTCGATTGAAGGGAAACTTCTGCACTCGTCGAGATACGTTTTTTTATCTAAATCTAAGGGAAGTAAAAAGAGAGTTATGAAGTATTTAATCAATAGAAATTCCTCTACGGAGAAACCCTAGCTACAGATACATTAGAAATGGAAAAAGGAAATTGGATACCATTTGGAGACAACTAAAGTGATTCAAGCTCTCATTTCACTATGATTTGATGAAAACTTCCGAAGATTCCAACGAGAAAGGCAATACTTTGATTAGAGGACTGCGAAGTCTTCGAGATATGTTTTCTAATCTATGTTGTGTGAATATCTGAAATGTTTTGTCCAGAAGTCTGTAGAAATCAGAAGTTGTGAGAAGGGATTTAAGACAAGCATTATTTTGTGTGAGAATCCATCAAAATCCATGGAGTATTAAAATTCATTGACTATTGAATACCTAAAATTTTTTAAGGATTTGTTGAAATCTTTATTGAATACCTCAGGTTTTTTAAGGATTTTTTAAAATCCGGATTGAATAACCCTAGATTCTGAAAGTCTAAAAAAATCCTTCATTGGTGGACATGTGTCTACATGTTTACCTCTGAACCAAAAGATATTTACTTTTTAATTTCAATCTTTTGAGTGTACTCGGAGATTTTGTATGCTTGAGATGGGAAGCAGCTGGGTGATGTTATATGGGGTATTATACTACATTACAAATGGATTGTTGGGAAAGAAATTTTGTCATGAATTCATGATGCTAATAAGAGCATTAGTGTTCAAGAACATGGCATAAACATTAGGACACAAATATTACCAATTTTAATCCGCACAGAAGTACACACATATTCCAAAGTGGTTAAAAAATCTATAAGGTAACATTACTATTCAAGACCTATAATACTTTTTATTTTCTTGCAGGTTTACACACATACACACTAAATATACGGAGTATATTTCTTCATGTGCTCAGATACAATTTGCCTTTTTATCTAGCCAAATTTAAACTTTGGTTGTTATGTAGAAGGACCCACTTTATTTAAAATTCTTAACATTTGTTTTTGAAAAAATATGGGGTTCCTATTTAGTTCTAATTTGCAAGTCCCTTTGAGTCAAATTCAAATTTCAAAACTGGACGTGTTTGAATTTCTGAGATGAATCTATCTTTCGGGGTCTCTATTGTGTAGGGAGTTAAATCTTAAATTGGTGCATTGTAGTGAGATTTGGATCATTGCTAATAGTTTGAGTTTCATTTGCTTTCATGTTTTTTGAAATACGTAGGCTTATGTAGCTTTTGTTGGGCCCCGATACCCGTGGTTGAGCGCCAATACCACTTATTGGGCCCCAATACCAGTTATAGAGCTTCGATACAACTTGTTGGGATCGCACAATGGAAGATAATAAAATTAAGAGATAAAAAATCGATAGCAAAGTTGGACACCAAAGAGGATATTGTGGGCCCTCCATTTGGAGGGACCCAGCCCAACAATCTCTCCCTCCAAATGGAGGGCCCACATGATGAAGCTTAACAACAAGAAAGAAAGAAAAATTGGACACTCAAAATTGAGTACTGATCTCGGAACATCTTTAACCTTGGGGCAATAAATAGAAAAATTGATGCCCAACCTTGGGTGGGTTCCTACAAATAAAGGGCCCATATGATATTATCTCTACAAATGCTTCATCAAGTAAAAAAGGATTAGAAAAAGTCGGCAGGGTAGGGAAAGAAAATACAAACTCAACTTGAGTTTAATCTTATCTTAAAGTTGAAAACTTGATTGACAGCTAAGGATTTGACGAGGCGGCATGGCGGTTGAATTTACCTATAAATAGAGATATATTCTTGGTTGAATTGAGTATGGTGAGAAGCTTAGTTATTTCAGCTTGAGAAAAGATAAAATTGATGTGTTGAGATTGAGCTATGTATCAATTTTAGTGTGAGTAGTTTTGTTTAGAGAGTGCTCCAAAATTATTTGTGTGTGTTTTTAGAATTAGTTGAGAGGTTTTTACAATTTGTCCATTCAAAATTGTTCTTGTATTCTAAATAAAATATAGAGTTGTTGTGGATGTAGGTTAATTGAGAAACCGAACCACGCTAAAATATTGTGTGTTCTTATTTTTTCGCTTCTATGTATATCTGCTGGTGATTTTAGTGTCATCAGTTTATTTTGTATGATTGGATTTACGTAGATCGGACAATAATTTAAACAAACCTTGTAAAACGAGTAAGGAGGATCGGAGTGCGCGCTCGTTCAACGATATTATAAATTCACAGTGGGGGTTCGGGGCGGTAGCCCCAGGGAAGCGGGGTCCAAGGGGCGGTAGCCCTTGGCGGGGTCCAAGGGGCAGAGTGGATAACGTAGAAATAGACTCTATAACCAGGAGACTTTTAGTTCAAACCCTTCTTCCTTATCGCGTGTTTCTTCCTCTCTGCGTGAACGTACGCGTCTACGCGAACGTTCATGTCTGGTCATAAATTTTCGACTCTATAAAATAGAGTCTCGTGGTATGGATTGAGTGACGGATTTTGAGTGCTTGTTGTTGATTAACGTCTTATCCGATTGAAGTATTTCGTATACCCCGAAATAACTTTGATCTGAAAGTGTTTATACGCGATTCGTTATACTATCGAGTTCTTCATCAACACTACTCCGCAGTGTTCTTCCTACTGCTATTCCTACAATATCATCCTAAATAGGGAAAATTTACTCTTTTTCCCAACAAGTGGCATTGGAGCCAGGTTGCTGTCTTGGTGCTGAGAGAGTAAGGATAAAGGACGGTTCTGCATAAAAGGAAATTGTTTTAGTGACAATGGTGTTTTAGTTGAGGAGTTCCTAAATATTATGGAGGGTTTACTAAATTTTAATATTCTCTTGCTTGATTGAAAGGGTAGTTTTACTGTGTGGCAAAGCACTATTCAAGATCTTTTGTGCAGCAAGGTCTTGACTCTGCTTTAGATAATGAGAACTCAGAAGGTATAAAAGAGGCCGAATGAAAGACAATCCAGAGGAAGACTGTAAGTGCTATCAAACTAGCGCTTTCTCCACAAGTTAAATACTCGATGATAACAGAGACATCACCAAAGACGTTATGGGAAAAGCTTGAAGAGATCTATGCATCAATGTCATTGACAAATAGATTATTTTTTAAGAGGGAGACTGATAAGTCTGTTTTGTTCTTATTTTATTCTAAATATTTTAAATGTTGTTACACGAAAATAGTAATAAATCAGTGCATAATAACATGTTAATACGAACAATATTCGTCGGTTTGTTCTAAGAGGAATAATAAATTGGTTCTAAAATAAATCAACTGAGATATTCGATTTCTTACTCATATATGAGAGAAAATGGTTTCAAAATGGGAATTATTATTCAAGAGAATCTTTGTGAAGGCGAAAACAGTGTTTAGGGACATAAGAAAGTGAAATCGTGCCCAAATTTCAACCAAGCCGCAAAGCCCAAAGGAAACGGGCCTGAAGCATCCAACCCATGGATGTTTTGCAGGTTGGACGCTTTGGGTTGGACACTTCAGCTAGATTGCGTTCCAAGGATGACACGTGGCGATCAATGACGGGCTGGAGTACGTGGCAAAGCGTCCGAATCTGGACACTTGGGGCTGGACGACATGGGTTGGATGCTTTGCGCCCGACTCTATAAAAGTTGCATCTCTCTTCCTCATTTTGCATCGATTTTCAGTCAAATTTTCCCTCTCCCAAAGTTCCGAACTCCTTTACTCTCTTTACAATTATAGTTTAGTTCTTTAGTGTTTTTTGGGTGCAATTTGTAGCCTAGTTGTACCCACTCCGCGGAAGAGTTAAAATAAGTTCTATACTTTTAATTATTAATTTAATTTTGCCTTTTCTATGTGAATGCATATTTAGATCTATTGTTGAGGAACTAAATCTATTAGGGATGTGATTCATAATAGGGTAATGGTAATTTTTAGATGAAATTCTTATGTTGGAATATTTCTTTATAAATTAAATTACTAGTTGTTGTTATTGTGAATTTTTATTGTGATTAATTAATTCAAGAACTATTAATCAAAACTTTGAAAAAAATAATTGAGTTCATTGAGAAATCATGATCAAGATTAAGTCATATTCTTTAATACGAATGGTTAATCTCTATAGAAATAATTAATTATTGAATTAATGTTTAAGGATATTTATTCACTAGTAGTAAAGATTTGAAATGAAAATTATTCCAACTAATAAAAGTAATCTATAAATAGTCATTACCTGAAAATGAATTACATCCCTGTCTTTTTAAACTGAGATATCAATCACCACCCTTTCAAGACTTTGATTACTTGAAAACTTTCCAATTCACCTAGTAAATCTTGTTTAGCTAGGTCCTACCTTCACTTTCCCTTGAGCCGATCTTAGAGACGACACATCGATAAACTAGCCTTACGTTAAGGTTGACTCCCTCAACTACAAATGTTTTATCAAATGGCATCGTTGCCAGGGATCGGCGCAGAAAGTTGTTAGTAAGATTTTCTTTTTAGCTAACTTGAGAGAACGTTGATAGGGTCGATTTTCAAAAAAACTTGAATTTTGAAATCCCTTCCTAAAATTAAATTTATTGTCAAAAGAAAATAAAATAAATAATTTCAAAATTCATTAATTATTAAAAAATTAAAGGTAGTGTTATGACTTCTTATGAACACTCGTTCTCGCGGAAATAATATTCTTCCTGGTACAAATAATCCCGAACTTCTATTCCGTCAACGAACAACTCAAATCCCACATCAATTGAGGTTCAACGACGAAAAGAATAGAGAAAATGAAGCTTCAGAAGAAGAAGAACACCCTTCCGAAGAAGAGAAAGAAAGTAAGAGAGAAGAAGAAATGGCTGCAAATCCACGAAGAACGATTCTACAGGTCATGAGCCCTGCCTATATAGAAGAGGATCTGATAGGACTCCAAACTAGCGAAGCCCATACCTTTGATATCCAGCCTGCTATGTTCCAAATGGCATCCGACGACCAATTTGGAGGCTCAAAGGCTGAAGATCCAAGAGCGCACATGTTATGGTTTTCCCGAACATGTCAAACCTTCATATCTAAGGGGTTGTCCATAGATTGTATTAAACTCTCTCTGTTCCCTTTCTCACTACGAGATCGAGCATCAAGACGGTTGAATACATTTCCCAATGGTCATTTTAAGACGTGGGAAGCAGTCCATCAGGCATTTATGCATGACTACTTTCTCCTTCAGTCATTGTCAAGATTAAGAACTCGATACAGAACTTCGGCCAATCTCCGTCAGAGTCATTGAGTGAAGCATGGGATCAATTTAAAGAGCTCGAGGTGAAGTGTCCTCCAGCACTAATTGAAGCCGATAGTATGATGTTTTATTTCTATCAGGGCTTACTGGTCACATCCAAGAAAGAACTTGATCATTCTTCTAAGGTCAGATCTTTTCTTGAGATGGCTCCCAAAGAGAATGAGGAGTTAGTGGAACGTCTAACCGTCAACGCTAAGTAATGGTATGATGACCGAGCTCTTCAACCAAAAGTCGGAATGTATGAAGTTGACCAATTCACTGCACTCAAGGCTAGTATGGAGAGTATTGTGAAACAAACAATCAAGGAGCATTTCGGAGCATCATCCAGTTTACGTTCCACTCATTACGTCGAGGCTGTAAACCAAGTAGAGACATACAATCTAGGAAGTTATCAATCATTTGAAATTGTTCTGTCTTGTGAGTTGCTTGTGAGTTGTGCTTACAGAACCATCTCACTACCTAGTGTCATCTCTACGAAGGATCCCTAGCAGCAAGAGCAAAAAAAATGTAATTTCACAATGAGCATATATCTTTTTTATCATACACAATTTAGAGTCCATTCCTGATGCATCGTTTGTGAATTGTAATCGCTTTCTATTACAACTATAGTTTATAGATGAGTTCTTTCGTTAGAATCCTAGTCCACAATCATAGTGATTAATGTTGCATAGTCCGTCTAACCGACATCAGAATACGTCACTCAACATAAGATTGATATCAAATTACATTTTTAGCCCCCAATTTAACATCAACATGACAGAAGGTCAAAAAAGGCTGTGTGGAAAGGTACTCATAAAAGAATGATTACGGAAGTAGTATTTGATAATAGACGACTAAGGCTATGTTCTTTTGGGTTAGAAAATTTAACTTTCAACGCCTTCTAGTTTCTTCTTGCTCCTTCCCATTTCTTCCAACTTCTTCCAATTTCATCTAACAACGACTCAAAAAGGTATTTATATATAATTAATATAAAATAACATTTTATATATATATATATATATATATATATATATATATATATATATATATATAAGTTTATAACATATCACCTCAAATATGTTCAATGATAAATATTGTTTATTCAAAATTAGAGTTTTATTACATATTTATTTGGATGATCATATAATTGAGTAATTTTTTAACATTTTATTCAAAATACTATTTATTCAAATTTCTTTCCATATCTAATTCTGAAATTTCAACCTAAAAAATATGTACTAAAAGGAAATTAGAAAGAACTAAGGGCGTATTCAATTATGATTTTATTAGATTTTTTAGATTTCAAAAAGTTAGTCATTTGAAAAATCTGTATAATCCATGTAGAGTTTGGTTGATTGATTTGTAGAATCCATGTAGAGTTTAAAAAATTCATAGAATTAATGTAGAGTTTAAAAAATATGTAGAATCCAAACATCACTTCTGTTCGAAAGTCCAACAGTGATACCGATCACCGTACAACCACAGTAGGAACGACTAATGCCGGTGGATGACGGGGCGACGCACGTGGACGGGCGGATGAAAAACTCGCGAAGGGACAGAGGGACGGACGGACGCTGGAGGACGCACGGACAGGCGCTGGAGGACGGACGGACGGACGGACGCTAGATGACGAATGGATGGAAGTACATAGAAATCTAGGGATGTGAGAAGAGATTTCCATGAGTGAAAATGTAAGCATTTTTTGAGAGAAAATCAAACAAAATCCATAGACTCTTAAAATTTATAAACTCTTGAATACCTCAAAATTTTTAAAGATTTTTGAAAATCCAAGTTGAATACTTCAATATTTTTAAAGACTTTGGAAAATCACAATTGTATACCTCAAGATTTTTAAAGACTTTTGAAAACCCAGATTGAATACACTCAGATTTTAAAAATCCAAAAAATACTACAGACTCCTGGGTCAATACACCTCCCTAATACCCTAATTTTTTGTACTCTATTTGTACACCATAGGTTTGCACCGACATTTTGTATTGGTGTAAAACTAATATTTTTTAACGCACCAATACTTTTTAACCGTGTAAATTTTTTTAATGCACCAAATCTTGTGTCGGTGTAAATCATCAATATATTTATGTATAACTGCGGTGTACAAATGTGGTATAATTTGTTGTGTAAGTGTAACATGGTGGATTTGGATGCAGATCGGAACCCGAATTGCCATTTCTACCTGTCCCTTTCTTCTCTTTTCTCAGTTTCTGTCTTTCGCCGATCGGTTCTATCTTCTATCAATAGCAGAACTATTTCTCTTGTTTTCGAGTAGCAGGTATTACAGTCTCTTCTCGACTTCTCAATCTCCTTTTTATTTTTGGAGTAAGGAATCATATGCTTTCAGCTTTTAGGGCCTCAAAATCGATGTGCTTGGATCTCTGTTTATATTTAGATGTGTTTCTGTTTCAGTTTAGATTCATGGATCGTTCATTTCATTTTCAGTTTCAGATGTGTATCAATGTAGAACTATAGATCAATCATTTCAGTTTTAACCAGCCGTTTGGATAGATACAGTGAAAGTCTGAGAGAGAGTTGAGGATCCGTTTGTACACAGAATTGACGGAATCAGAATTGAATTGAAATTGGAATTCTATAGATTTGAATTAGATGGAATTGAATTCTTCAATATCAATTCATATTTTTGCACAACCAATTCCAAATCCACATATTTTTGTGTTACCAAACACCAAAATTGGAATTAAAGTCTCCAATTCCAATTCCATGACTTGAATTCCGTGTATCAAACGGAGCCTGAATTGAATTCCAAAGGGAATTAAATTTATATGAATTGGGGATGGATTTCTAATGGCTTTCTAATGTTTTGATTCCATTGAATTATTGTGTTTGGACTTTGGAGTGTATATAAAATGGATTCAATTGTTCATGAAGGCAACACTGCATTTTCTCACATGCGCCTTTCCCTTTCCTCCTGAGGCAGCTTTCCATTTCTCCTACTTGAGCAGATCCGAGGTTTTTCGTAATTTCTGATGTGATATACAACAAGATCTAGCTTTCTTGTTCTTTCTCTTGTTAATGAATTGAATTCCAAAATATTTGATTTTGTTTTTGTCTACTTTTTTTCAAAGAGAATCAATTAGTGCATTTCTAGACCAGGAAGGAATAGAATTTGAAAATACACCATATAAACCGTGAATATTAGACCATGAATAAGTGCGAGAAATTAGTTAATATAGTCAAGATTATAGGATGGCTATCAATACTTTCTTTATGTGGCATTTATTAAGAACCTCTGATACAGCATAGTTTCAAAAATGAAAAATTTGGCTACATGTAATGTGTTTCATATTAGAAAAAAGTTGTATTAGAATATATTTGTGAGTGAGGTATGCAGAGGTTGTTTGCAGAAGACCCTTGGCTCAAGGGGTTAAAATCAAACTATATTGGCAAGAAAAATAATCAAATTCCCTCAAAAAGATTTTTTTTTGAGGGAAAATTCCTCAAAAATATAAAATAAAATAAATTAACAAAAGCTGCACATGTTAGTTCTCCAAAAAAGAGGAAGCACAAACTTAGTACCAAGAGAATAAACGTTTACACACAATCCTGTTCGCGAGAATGAAATTGAAAGGCTAACCCCCACCTCTTGAATCACAACCTCAAACACCAAACAATCACTTACCCATCTATCCTGATCCATGATTGCCAAAACTTCCTAGCTAATTCCCTCTGTCAGCTTGAGTTTAGCCATATCCTGCCGAATCACCTCCCCGCAGCTCTTCGGCCTACCTCTACCTCGCATAAGTCCTGCGTTTGCTAAACCCTCGCACCTCCTAACTCACACATTCTCACCCCTCTTCAAATGGCTGAACTATGATTGCAATATTTCTGTTTTAGAAAGTTGCTTTATTGATAAGAGTATAATACCCTATTGCGTTAGAACAAATGAAGCCATTTGTTGTGGTGCTGACCGTGCTGCTCATCTTGTTGATTTTGTGAAACTCCCACTGCTATGCAGAGTTTTACCAACATCTTTTGGATCCCGTTTTGTAAGCTTTGTTTGGGTGAATGTGTGAATCTGTTTAATTGTCAGTAAGTTAAGGTGTTCGTTAACCTCCATTTCAGCCATATAAGTCAAGCTACTTCTGCTGGTATGGAGATAAAGACTATTTAGCCACCAAACTGAACCTTAATCTTGGTATAACAAGGTATACAGCATATTTATTTTAAAAACATAAATTTAGATTTATGAGTCGTGAATTTTGAAATGAAGCAGGAAATGGGTTTATGGACACTGCTGGAGGGATGTCTGCTTCTTGCCAATGCATTGGCCATACTAAACGAAGACCGCTTTCTTGCTCGTAGAGGGTGGAGCTTTCAGGAATACTCGGGAATCAAGAGGAATTCATTGAAGGGCCAGATTCTTGGTCTTATTTATGCAACCCAGTACTTGAGAGTTCCACTAATGCTCCTCAACATTCTTTGCATTGTTGTAAAGCTCATTTCTGGATAAACTTCCATCCTGGTATTTGAAGCCATATCTTCTTTTTTCTTCTCGTGTTATATACATGTTGGGCAACGAACTGGAGAATTTTTTTTTCCCATCATCTTAACGTACTTGTAGACTTTGTTTGGTTCGGGAAATTAGGAAGGTAAAGAGAATGTTAAGGAAAAATTTCAAAGAAATCCAAAATCCTAGTTTTGTTCTATTGTTAGAGAAATTGATGAGGAAATTCAATTACTAGTAGAAAAAAAACAAAGGAAGCCACACCTCTTCCCCCACACCCCCTCCACTACACACACTAAAAGCTCTTATAAAACAAAAAGTCTCATAATAAATGTGACTTCTTAGGCTTCATTTGGATGTCACAATAATTTGAAAGCAAGAATAAATATTTGACCTCAATTTCGAATACTTATATTAAATTTGGAGGAGAATTAGGAAGATGCACTGAATCCATCAAATTAAAACGATATAAAAGTTACAGCATGTGTCACTAATTCAAGCAAGAATATACTGAGTAATTTATGCTCCCCTCGTCACCAAATGAATTACAATATTTGATCAACGTGCAAAATCCAATTTTTTAAATTGATTTTGTTTACAAGTTGATATAGAGATAAAAAATATAACTTAAATATACTTGTAAAAAAATTACGTCGAAAGTTCTATCTGGAGCACAAAACAAGAGGTGATATACGAAGATTTTATTTTATCGAGTGATAGATGGAAATATGCAAACAAACAAAAATTATCGAGATGATTTATAGGAACAGTATAATTCATTTAGAGACGGGAAAGATGATTTAATTTTACATGTGCCCTATTTATTAAACACAAGCCCATCATAAAACCAATCATAAACCTACAGAAATCATTGAAATGAACACCAAACTACGGAGTATTTCAACAAAATTGCAATCAAAATAACGAAATAAGTTCAAATAAATACTACCTCCGTCCCAACCAAAAATAATATAGGTGAACTTTATATCAAAAGTACCTGGTAGCATGAATATTCTGAGTTAAATATGATTTGAATATCTTGGTGCGTCACTATATTACTCGACACATTAACACAAGTGTGTAAAAAGTAACAAAAAAAATAATCCAAGTGAAACATATACCATAATATCAACTGGACGGACATTCCCGATATCAAAGATCAAAGATTGACCGATATCAAAGATCCCGAGAATCTTAATCTGAAAAATAATAGAAACATCAAAGATCGGCCTTATGATAAAAAAATTGTACTAATATTATGCCACCTCCAAAATCCCGACGTACATATCTCTAACTGTACGAATATATGCAGTCGGAAGCCCTTTAAACTCAAGACATGCATCTCCACAAGATCTCTCTCGATACTTTGTCATACGCCTTCTCGAGATCAATAAACACCATGTAGAGGTTCATCTTAGCTCTAGTTACTCGTCCATCAACCTCCGCAAGAGGCAAATAGCGTCCGTTGTCGACCGGCTAGGCATGAAGCAACCAAATTGGTTCTCGAAAATACACACCTTCTTCCTGCAACCTAGCCTCTATAATACGTTCCCAGACCTTCATGGTATGACTAAAAATGTTTGGTGCCCTTAAAATTATCACAACTTTGGATATCCAAGCTAATCCACCACTGCCCACAGACTTCTAAAACTCCACCTTTTGTTGGCTAACACACTAACAATATCTAAAGTGTTCAAGTGTCTATACTTGTAAGTCTGAGTGTCCCNTTTGTAGGCCATTGAAGTATTCCCCCCACTAGCTAGAAACTTTTACCTCTTCAAGTAAAACCTTGCCAACACTGTCTTTCACACACGTCACATGCTTCGCATCTAACGCCTTCCTCTCCAGCATCTTAGCAAACTAAAAAGCCTCTTATCCTTGCCCCGCTCCAAATCCTTATAAAGCGTGCAAAGGCTGCAAACTTTGCTCTCGTTTCCACTAATTTTGTTTCCTTAGGGGAAATTGCAACTTTATACTCTACTCGTAAAGCCACCCTACCTTCTTAACTTCCACCTTACTATGAATCGTATCACTCCACCATCAGTCACCTATATGATGGGTCCTAGTACTACTGCTGACACCTAGTACTTCTTGCATCCTTGGTCCAATTTAAAGTCTTCTCCCACGTGTCATTGGGCCACCCCGTAGGACTCCCAAGCTCTTTTTCTTGAATCCAGACAACTAACTTTGAAATTTTCTCTTCCCCTAGCTCCTTTAACAAATACACGATATGGGCCACCTGTTATTTGTCTCTTCTTCACCAACTTAATCAAAACATCCAACACCAATAACTTATGTAGGGTCATAAGATTCTCACTCAAGATTACTATAACGTCGTTACAGATAATCAATTTGCATTCTCCCCACTCAAAATTAACCAAGTGGTCCTCCTGCTCAAGATAGAATGAATTAGTGATCAGGAGTATTCACCACTCTAGCAAATTCTAAAAGAGAAACCCTCACGAGATTTCTAATCACAAAGTAAAAAAACCTTCATCGAACCCCCAATGTGACCATTAAAGTTACCTCCAATGAAGAGTTTCTCTACCTATGCAGTATCTCCTAATACCTCATCTAGTGTCTCCCAAAACTCCCTAATAACTTCATCATTCAAGCCCTCTTCTGGGGCATAGACCTTCACAATGTTGATAGCACAAACACCTAGAGCTAACTTAATAGTCATCAAGCTATCCAATTTTCCACGTGCGAAATCGCATACAAGACACTAACCTACCCCTCCTAGCTATCTGCTCGCTCGCCCCAGGATACAACCTTATGTCCACATTACAAAGGTACCCATACTCACACAAACAAATATAAGTAACAAGTTAGTAAACATACAACAAGAACCTACATCAGTACAACACAATAAAATAGACAATCACCAGGAATAAACAATACAAGTTGCCACGACAATACATCGAATAATAATAATAATAATAATAATAACAACAACAACAACAACAACAACAACAATAATAATATGGCCTAGTTCACATTACATTCAGTTTGAAGGTCATAGGATGACCCAGTTGGGAGGGGGCAGGGGGGACTGAGTTAGGGAGATAAGAACCGTCATTTTTTCAAACAAAGCACCGTTAGGAGGCCCGGTCATCCTATGACATTGATTTCAATGTCACAGGAACCACGTCGATACTAAAAAAAAAAAAATAATAATAATAATAATAATAATAATAATAATTATAATAATAATAATAATAAGTAATAGTAATAAATAATAATAATAGTAGTAGTAGTAGTAGTAGGAGTAGTAATAATAACAATTATATCGTTGATCATCCCACGATATAGGAGTATTAAAGTAACAATGACCACCAGAGAGGTAATCAGTTTGCTCCCTCCCCTTGAACCAATCCAACCAGGAACTAGATAGCCCCCAGTGAGTAAAAATGATCTGATTACTCTGAAACTCCAAGGAATCCAGCAAAGCTACCATATTTAGGCTCCCATTCTAATTCAGCACGTGTTCTTGAGTTGTCCAATTTCTTTCCCAGTGGATCACTTGTTCCTGCAGGAAGAAATCAAATGACCAATGTGACATTTTTATTAATGTTTATTTACTAGAAAGGACACCGATGTAATACCACTGTTCGTAGCTTCCGGTACATCACTTGAGATTAGGTCTTTCATGTTCTTTTTAGCAACAAATATATACTCTCTTCGTGCCAAAATAATAGACAGAGTTACGATTCATAGGATCAAAGTATATGTGCTTCCTTTACATATTTTCATTCATAATTTCACCAAATATTATAGCTGTATCACCAGTCCTCACCAGATATTTGTAGAACTTCTGTTGTAGTTTTAAAAATACAAGTTTTATTGTTTATTTCTAGAATAATTTTAAAATAAATTGAATTGAAAGTAAATTTTAGTCAACCATTGTAAACCAAAATGTATTTTATTTTGTGACGGAAGGAGTAAATAATTTATAAATATAAATCATGAGTCACGTGACAAGCCAAAAACATCTATCTATCTAGCTAAGGAGTACCGATTTACTGAGTATAAACAAACATACGAAGGTCAGGTTCTTTAAGAACGAACAAGTCTACTGAGCAACCCACTTAAAGCAACAATGAATGGAGGGGCATGCCGAGGAGGGCTCTTACGGTATTACCAATAACCAACACAACATTTGACAAGTGCTTACCTGTGAAACCTTCAAACTTCTGGTCATACTTCCCACTTTTATTAACCAGGTCCATTACTTCTTGCCTGAAAAGATGCATATCAAGAAGGCTCAGATGATGTTCACTACACTACAGCATGAACAAGGAACAGCATTGAGAGTGATAAGAGTGCAATTGTATATGCAACTCTATTATGAAAAAAAATACAGGATAAACCTGGACAATGGGTGGTTGTCACAGCCCAAAAAGATCCGACCACGGAGTTTCTTTTTCAAGATGACAACAGCTAGAGATGCTGCATCCTATCATAAGCACACACAAAGACATTATACAAAAGATGGCACTCCCGACACTTATAAAGGAGAATAGAATGTACCCTTACAGTGAATTGGTTGCATCGAAAGGAGAATAAAGGGGAAGTAGAAAGGAGATAAGGGGAATGGATCAAACCCTTTATGTATCGAATAAGTTTATAAAGGGAGTGCATTATAAAAAACATTGTATATTTCTCTTGTTTCAATTACAAAGGAAATGGAGGGAAAGTGATAAAATTTATGTCAATTATGACACTTATGTCCTTATGGTAAATTAATTTAAAACCAAATACTCCCTCCGTCCCACAGTATTCGTCTAGTATTCCTTTTTTGGATGTCCCATAGTATTTGTCCACTTTCCTTTTTAGGAAACAAAAAACATAAAATGACTCTTTTGCCCTCATCATTTACTCCATTTTTCACCTTTATTGAAATCCAATAACAACAAAATCGACAAAATTGACGCTTCCAGATTTCCGCTTCCGTCTCTATCACCTTCCTAAGTGCCGGCCCAGAATCGGAGTTTCAAAACGGCACATGGATGTCTTCTCCGTCGACAAGATAGAGCTGGATGCTTTCTCCCATGACGGCTGGAGTTGGACGGAGGCTGGATGTCTTTGGATGACTTCTCAAAATTTAGATCTTCAATCCGATTGTAAAATGTTTTATGAAATCTTTGATAGTCTTTTTAATTCTGTCTTTTGTTTGATTTTTTGTTCTGTCCGACTATTGTTGCTTTTTGTTTCTTGATCTACAATCCGATAGTTATTTTTTGTTTTTTTTAAATTATGAAATCAAGTGCTAAAGGCAGTGTTTTTTTGTTTTAATGAATTTAAAACCAAATTGTAGTGGTAAATGGGTGCTGGACCGTGGCGAACTGGTGTTGGATGGTGGCAAATTAGAGATGGTTAGTCTGGGCAGTGGCAAAATACAGCGAGAAGTTGGAGGATGCCGGGGATGAAGATTGTTTGGGAGGCCAAGCGACAAAGAGATACAAGTGTGCTGGTTGGTGCAGGAGTGATTGAGTCATTCTACTTAGTTTCTTGGTTTTTGGTCCAAAACAAAAGTGGACGAATATAGCAGGACGGAGGGAGTAGTTGTCTTTGTAGTTTGTATAAATAATGAACTTATTTCTCCCTCCATTTGATCCTGAATTGGAGGCAATGACATTTGATGGGAATGTAAGGGTTTGGAAAGCATCCACACATCCTCTTCGTTTTAACTAGCCAAGCAGAGAACATATGAATGTGCCACTCCACTACCACTCTCTTTGTACCATCCCGATTAATCAAACACATTGTTATAGGAAATAGTAACAACAGCACAAATGTCTTTAGAAAGCATGGATCTTAAACTAAAATGATTCACATTCACCTCATAATGTATAAGGTTGACGATATGATCTCCACGAAAATCTGAGGTTCCTTTACTTAGCCAGTAGGTATGAGCGCCTCTATCGGCTTTGTATAAACAGTTAAGGCAAATTTTGTGAAAAGACAAGTCATTAGAAGAATATGCAAGTTGTGTAAAGATGTAAAAGCACTAAGAATTCACAATTAAGGATATGTAAAGTCCAGCCAATCTAAGAACGCAGCCACCATATTCCAGTGCAGCTTTTTCTGCCTTAAGAAGAACATCAGTCCTAGGACTTGTCCCTATCAGCACAACTGGGGTATCCTAAAAAACATACAGTGGACTAAGAAAAAGAAATGCGAAGAGAATGACATTTAAAAGAATATAAACAAGAGTAATGTTTTTTGACTGGAATATCCTGCAGTATAGTATTTCATTATGGTCTGCATCTCGAAATCCATAGGAAGTAAAAACTGTAATGAAGTTTATGGAAAAATGAACAGTGTAGCAGCACTGCTATCTGTTATGATGCACATAAGACCTCATCACATGGCCCATTATCATGGCAATCATATGGTGCGGAACTTGAGGTGAACACGAAAGAACCTTCAGTATTCCACTTCAAAGCAGCCTCCCTGTAAGTTTTTCTCATACAGATTAAGAAGGCCAAAGTCTGCAAATCACAGATAGTGTACATGCATTCTATTTACATACACAAGCCATGATATTAAATTTAAAAAAAAAGGCAAAGCATAGAATTATGTTGGATGTATCTATATATTTACTTACGTAAGTGTACCCCAACACCCCACATCTGTGAGAGTTGCAGCACTGGGTCGGTGGGTCCAACTTTTTTGGCACTGCTCTCAGGAGCAGTAGGAGGTGATGGACCCTTCACCCCATTAAGAAACGAAAAAAAAATTAGTTTGAAAAGCACTATTCTGATTCCTACCTGACATCACCAGGATAGTCTGCGGTACGTGATGGTGGAGCACAGAAAATAACGTAAGGGAACTTCTTACAAAGCTTGGTTTCTTTCAAAGATGGTTTAATTCCCTTCTTGATCAGTTCATCATGATGATCAGGGGTCATGGTTTGTCCAAAAATTTGACAACCAGGGTGTTCCTGCAACATGTCAAAAGCTGAAGAGGTTATAGATATACCATCCAAACCACGTTTACACCTCATAAGGAATGCATAACTATTAATTTCCTTCCATAAACCTGTACCATCAAACAAGATTGTGATACAAAACAGTTTTTCTGAAATCTGGCACACTATGCTACCCTTAAATGCATATCCACGGATACTACATATCAATCAATCTTACAGAGGCATTCATGCACAAATATAAAACAAATCCGTTGAATTTAACATTTGAAGAAATTGATGCCCGATTATTCCCTCATCAATTACTTGTGATCAAAATGACACACCACGGACAATGATTGGAACACATTACTAACAATGATTGTCTATGAGACACTTGCGACATCATCCGTATTGTCATTCGTGTTAATAATTGTAGAATAACTATTTTCCTTGCTTCTTACTCCCTCTGTCCCGCTATATTCGTCCACTTTTGACTTTTGGAACTGTTCATCTAAGTACTTTGACTCATCAAATTGTCTTAATATGTAAGCCTAAATATAGTCATGTGTGATCTTGTTTGATTTGTCTTAACATATAGATTATTAATATATAATTTCTATAATTTTTTAATATACAAATTACAAGATAAAATGGATTAAATAAGTGCATTGGATGGTGTGTAAAAATGAAAGTGGACAAATACTATGGGACGGAGGGAGTACTTTCTATGAATGTTAAATTAATGCAACAATGCATCAAGGGTCTAATGAAAAAAGTCTTTCTATTTTTACAGTGGTATGGTTGTGTACATCTTCACCCTAGGTTTCCTACACTAGGTTTCTTATTGATGTTGATCAATTGCAATCAAAGTTAATATTGATCAGCATTTTGTTGGGATACAAACCAATCCCACACCGGATGATTAAAAGAAAGAGAACCAACAATTATATGGTTACCCTAAACCATCCGTATGAGGCCTTTTGGGAGGTGCCCCGTTCCCCAGAACAAATCCGTGAGGGCATGGCCCAAAGCGGACAATATCATACTAATGCAGGGTTAGGGTGAGGGCACACGCGATCCCAACACATTTTGCACCCTTCCAAAGCACTGTCTACATTATCACCCCCTATATCTTCACTACCATTTCAATATCATTATACAGATAAACAAGAAAATTTATGGACAGTGTAAAACCAAAATGCATCAGTTCAGAGTTTTAGATTTTACAATCAGGCGTTATTTTTCCATCATGCTTACAATGCACAATCGAAAGGGTAGAAATCATACCTCTCGCCATTTTTCAGCCACTAAACGACCTAGCACACCTGGTCCAACAATTAGCAAATCTTTTTCCCCGATAATTCCATCGTCACAATCTAAAAAGAAGCCCAATCCAAAAAACATCAAAACCCCCAAAAAAATGTCATTTCCGAGCTTTAGCGAGATATGAACGTGGATGGTACCAATAGCAGAAGAAGAAGCTTTAACAGTGAGAGGAGCATCCATAGACGATGAATGCTTGATGGATGCAAAATTGTGAGCAGAGAAAAATGTGAATGAGAGTGAGGTTCGGGAATGGAGGTCAGTGGAACCCAAGAGAGGTATAATCCCTCTCCTACCGCCAGTGGCAAGTGTATTGGAAAGGGTAAAGCGAACGGTGTTGACCACTCCTGTTTGGCTGCTTGTAACTTCACCAAATTAAGGAGTATGTAAGACATAGAACAAACGACCAACATATGTAATACAAAACCAAAACATTAACTGAAATCAGAAAAAAACTGAAATATTAAACTGAAAATAAAAAACTGAAATACTAAAATAAGAAAAAAATCAGAATATTTACTGAAATCAGAAAAAAACTAAAATATTAAACTGAAAATAAAAAACTCAAATAATAAAATACTAGAATAAGAAAAAAATCAAAATATTAACTGAAATAAAAAAATTGAAATATTAAACTGAAAATAAAAAACTGAAATACTAAAATACTAGAATAAGAAAAAAAATCAAAATATTAACTGAAATCAGAAAAAAAATTGAAATCAAAATTGAACTATAATATACTTTATAGTTTAATGAACCAAATCAATGAAAATTAAATCAAATAAAGAGTACACTTTAGTGATAACAAAGTAAACATTCAGAAAATTTACCCATGGAGGAGAGTCGCTGATGGAGCCGCCTGGAGGAGTCGCTGGAATTCACGGAAGTGCTGGAAGTGGATGCAGTCGCTGATGGAGGAGAGTCGCGATTGACTGTCGATGATGGATTGCATTGAAGGAGGCCAGGTTTTATAGAAAATTTTATAAATTAATGAAATTTGGGTCGGGTCGGGTCGGGTCGGGCCGGTTCAATTGGGTTAGGTCAAATTGGGCAACTTCTTTCACCGACTAGGTGTCGCCTACGCGCGACTAAGCGCCGCTTTGCACGCTTTGTCGCCTAGGCTTCCCTAGGCGCTAGTCGAAGAGCAAAGCGAAGAGGCAAAACCGCTCGGACGACTAGTCGGCGACTAGTCGTGGCTTAGGCGACGACTTGACAACCATGGGTGTGATGCGGTATGGGCTAACGAAGAATATGCCAAAGTGATCTTAAGGTGTTTTAGGACTTGTTCTAGTTTATATACGAGGACTCTTATTGCTAATAGACCACCTCGTGTAATAGATATTTTACAAGATTATGGGTTTTATGGGGTGGAGAAAGTGGGTGGATTACAGTTAGATTGGGCTTTGATTACTTCTTTAGTGAGCGGGGTTAGCACAGGTTGCAAGTCGACGAAGAAGATGTTCATACCCCCATCCAATCTTCTTGTATGTCCCAGGACGAGGATGCCACTAAAGAGGTCTATGTTGAGACTTGAGAGTGATACCCACACACCCGCTTGCACCGGTGAGCCATCCACTTTGTATACTCCACGATTCGAGATTTCAGCTCCTCCACAATGTGTACCATACGCCACCAGTCAGGTTTGATGGAGATTATATGTTTACTCAAGAAAGTCAGCTCACGGATGAGTTTGGGCAATATCTCTCCAGCACTACACCATCAGTGATCCTTTATACGTTCAGTAACGTTGAAGTGGAGGAGGAACGGGATCAGGATCTTCGACCACGACACGCTCGACATGGGACCCGATGTGGTACTGGTAGCCATTATGTTTAGTAGTTTCCTTTTGTTTAATACATTTTATTTCAGTTATGTATGTAAACTTTGCTTGTTTATTTTGATAATGTATGTAAACAATTTACTAATAGCCATTATCTCTAGTTTTTCCCAAGAGTTTAATACATTTTATTTCTCACTCCCACCTAACCACTTATTCTCACTCCCACCTAACCACTCATTCCCACTCCCACCTATCCTTTTACTGCCCCTCCCACCTAACCACCATTTCTCACTCCCACCTAACCATTCATTCCTCCTCCCACCTAACCACCCTTTCCCACTCCCACCTAATCATTTATTCCCCCTCCCACCTGACCACTCAATCCCACTCCCACCTAACTACATATTCCTACTCCCACTCTACATCATATAAATACCACCCAATATCTCCATTTCGAACACACCACCACAATTATTCTACACACCAAAATAAACAATGTCAGAAGACAATAGTATACTTCTTGTAGCTCGTTGGAATGGTGAGATTTGTAAATAGTGAAGTTCAACACTCTAAGCTGCCGAAGAAGTCTTTGTTGTTAATATTGATCAGCATTTTGTTGGGATACAAACCAATCCCACACCGGATGATTAAAAGAAAGAGAACCAACAATTATATGGTTCCCCTAAACCATCCGAGGCCTTTTGGGAGGTGTCCCGTTCCCCAGAACAAATTCGTGAGGGCATGGCCCAAAGCGCACAATATCATACTAATGCGGGGTTGGGGTGAGGGCACACGCGATCCCAACACATTTTGCACCCTTCCAAAGCACTGTCTACATTATCACCCCCTATATCTTCACTACCATTTCAATATCATTATACAGATAAACAAGAAAATTTATGGACAGTGTAAAACCAAAATGCATCAGTTCAGAGTTTTAGATTTTACAATCAGGCGTTATTTTTCCATCATGCTTACAATGCACAATCGAAAGGGTAGAAATCATACCTCTCACCATTTTTCAGCCACTAAACGACCCAGCACACCTGGTCCAACAATTAGCAAATCTTTTTCCCTGATAATTCCATCGTCACAATCTAAAAAGAAGCTTGATCCAAAAAAACATCAAAACCACCAAAAAAAAGTCATTTCCGAGCTTTAGCGAGATATGAACGTGGATGGTACCAATAGCAGAAGAAGAAGCTTTAACAGTGAGAGGAGCATCCATAGACGATGAATGCTTGATGGATGCAAAATTGTGAGCAGAGAAAAATGTGAATGAGAGTGAGGTTTGGGAATGGAGGTCAGTGGAACCCAAGCGAGGTATAATCCCTCTCCTGCCGGCAGTGGCAAGTGTATTGGAAAGGGTAAGGCAAACAGTGTTGCCCATTCCTGTTTGGCTGCTTGTAACTTCACCAAATTAAGGAGTATGTAAGACGTAGAACAAACGACCAACATATGTAAAAAAAATTCCATTCGTGACATTGTAAGTCAAATAATTTTTTTTCCTCGCAGTGCAATACGAAATAGCCAACTTCTTTTCTACTCGAGAATTTTAAATAAAATGGAGTAGCCAACTCCGTCTCAATTTATTTATTAAATCTTAAATGCAATATAGAGTAGCTAACTCCATTTCTGTTGAAATTATTTCCAGACAGAGTAGGCTACTCCGTCTCCCCATCCGATAGTTCTCAACACACCCCTTGGCCCCTTCCATCCACCCGTTCCAACAAACATCAGCGCCGAAAAAAAAGAAATTCGAGGAAGAGAGGGGAACCGCCGGAAGAAGACAATTCGGACTACCATACTCCGTTTCATGGAGGTATTTTTAATTTTTTATTTAATTTATATAAATATTGATCATTTTATGTTAATATTGAGATATATATAGTTTAGTTTATAAAATTGCATAAATTATATAGGATGTATACCAAGTTCATGAATTTTTTTTATTGTAATTGATATATATTATTAGTTTGTAAGATTTCGAATTTGATTCTTTAAATATTCATTTTAAAATATTCTTGAATTTGAATTTCGTAATTTTTTTATTTTGAGATTGTAAGATAACTTTTAACATAATTAGTTTTTTTATTATAACTGTCTAGTTGTGTGCTTTTATTAAATGAATAAATTGCTATGTTGTAATGTTTGAAGCAAATGAATTGTTATTAAATTAATAAATTGTTATGTTGTAATCTTTGAAGCAAATGGATGTTCATCCGGGACCTATTCCACGAGACGTTTTAGTTCTTACACCCGGAGAACATAGGTGTGATGCGGTATGGACTAACGAAGAATATGTCAAAGTGATCTTAAAGTGTTTTAGGACTTGTTCTAGTTTATATACGAGGACTTTTGTTGCTAATAGACCACCTCGTGTAATAGATATTTTACAAGATTATGGGTTTTATGGGGTGGAGAAAATGGGTGGATTACAGTTAGATTGGTCTTTGATTATTTCTTTAGTGAGCGAGGTTAGCGCAGGTTGCAAGTCGACGAAGAAGATGTTCATACCCCCATCCAATCTTCCTGTATGTCCCAGGACGAGGATGCCACTAAAGAGGTCTATGTTGAGACTTGAGGGTGATACCCACACACCCGCTTGCACTGGTGAGCCATCCACTTTGTATACTCCACGATTCCAGATTCCAGCTCCTCCATAGCGTGTACCATACGTCACCAGTCAGGTTTGATGGAGATTATATGTTTACTTAAGAAAGTCAGGTCACGGATGAGTTTGGGCAATATCTCTCCAGCACTACACCATCAGTGATCCGTTATACGTCCAGTAACGTTGAAGTGGAGGAGGAACGGGATCAGGATCTTCGACCACGACACACTCGACGTGGGACCCGATGTGGTACCGGTAGCCATTATGTTTAGTAGTTTCCTTTTGTTTAATACATTTTATTTCAGTTATGTATGTAAACTTTGCTTGTTTATTTTGATAATGTATGTAAACAATTTACTAATAGCCATTATCTCTAGTTTTTCCCAAGAGTTTAATACATTTTATTTCTCACTCCCACCTAACCACTTATTCCCACTCCCACCTAACCACTCATTCCCACTCCCACCTATCCATTTACTCCCCCTCCCACCTAACCACCATTTCTCACTCCCACCTAACCATTCATTCCTCCTCCCACCTAACCACCCTTTCCCACTCCCACCTAATCATTTATTCCCCCTCCCACCTAACCATCATTCCCACTCCCACCTAACTACATATTCCTACTCCACTCTACATCATATAAATACCACCCAATATCTCCATTTCGAACACACCACCACCATTATTCTACACACCAAAATAAACAATGTCAGAAGACAATAGTATACTTCTTGTAGCTCGTTGGAATGGTGAGATTTGTAAATAGTGAAGTTCAACACTCTAAGCTGCCGAATAAGTCTTTGTTGTTAAATTCCAATATATCTTACGACACCTTTATTGGTCAAATAAGTAGTGATGTAATTCAAGATAGATTCCAAGGCGTGGAATTTCTCTACGGTAAATTCTCCAAACACCAATCTAGGGTTTATGTTGGTCCACGACCTCTCTTAATCCACGATGAACCAATGATAAGTATATTTTGTACTTATAATTTTAGTTATATTTAAATGTTTTTGTGTGTAAATAAATTTAATTAAAGAAAAAAATATTTATTTCTTTCTCGAAGTTGTCATTTTGTTTATAGAAAAAGGTGTTCAAAACAAATTTGGAATTTTCAAACAGAAACTGGTTCAAACGGAGTAAAAACTTGAAAGAAAATAAAACATTTGAGATGTTTAAACTCAATTTCGTCCATAGCTCCAGAAGAGATAAATGTTCAGCGCAAAATATGGAGCTTGCCACATAAATTCGAAGCCCAAATACCTAGGTTGGGCCGGGCGACCTGCTGGGCGACCACCCCGGACCAGCCCCAAGATTCAAACGCAAGATAAGGAACAAAACGACACGTTTTTCCAGAGATGATAAATATCTTCTGCGGGGCGACCTGCTCGGCGACCACCCCGGACCCAGCCCCAGGATTCAAGCGCAAGATAAGGCACAAAACGACACGTTTTTCCAGAGATGATTAATATCTTCTGCGGGGCGACCTGCTCGGCGACCGCCCCGGACCCAGCCCCGGGTTTCAAACGGGAGTTTAAAGCAACTGACAGCAACTTGCGGCGAATATTCGGATATTCTTCCTAGGGCGACCAGCCGGGCGGCCGCCCCACACCCCGCCCCGGAGATTCCTAGCAGCGATTTAAGCTTTCAATTCGTAGTTTTAAGGGTATTTTTGAAGTTTCAATTCCAATTCCGCTTTTCTGGAAGTTGTAAGTTTCTTTAATTAATATTATAAACATGTTTTGTTATTCAATTTGTGCATTTTTTATAATTACTATGTATTTTTAAACATATTAGGGATGTGAATTGAAATTAGGGTTGTAGGAATGTAGGAAAAATAATTATGTTGGAATATTAAATTTAAATGTTATGTTGCTAGTAATTGTTCTATGTTCTAATTAATTAATCTCGCCAATTTATTAATTAATATTTGAAAAAATATTATGTCCATTTGTCTATGAATGAAAAAAATAATTTAGTCAATCAATTCTAACACATTAATAATGCCTAGATATAGGATAAAATTAATGGAGTTATTGTGACAAAACTACTCACTAGCTAAATTAATTAGTTAATTTAATAATCCAACTAGTTAAAATATCTGAAAAATTCCTACTACCTGAAATCAATTCATATTCCCTTTTTATCAAACAATTATTTTATTACTCTGTCCAACTCAGTTTCAAATCCAAACCACAAACACTTTTCGAATTTAGAAGGCTTCCAAAACCAATGAGTAAAACTTTGCCTAACTAGATTTTAAATAGAAAATTTATTTTAACACCAATCCACGTGAATACGACACGGGAATAAATCGATCTCTTTTAGAGTGAAATTTACTACCGCTAAAACTCTTTCGTCAACCAACATGGCGGCATTTTATACAAAAAGCATCACGTGAATACGATGCAGTTGAAGTATTCATCAGTGTCTAAAAATGTAAAGGAGGAAGAGTATGGTAATCCATTCTTTCAGCAAGAAATGGGTTAGCCCTCTTCATCCCATTTTCCTCAACATGTTGATAGTAATCCAGATGATGCTGAGTACGTTGCACCCTCAACGGAAGATGAAGAATCTTCGGAAGAGGAAGAGGACATATCCTCAGATGAAGGAGACGATGGCCATGACGTTCGTGCAATGCCACATTTATAAGAAATCTAGAGACGTGAAACGTATAGATATTTGCAACTGATGTTCCATGAACTAATTATTGAGGTTGGTAATACCTATCCTTCTTTTCAAAGTTCACAACAAGTATAGACACTTTCGCACAGATGCGAAACGGAGTCGTTATTGGAGAGCTAGTTGTGTATACATCCCCCAAGCCGCACAAAATGCAGGGACAAGTCAGTGGACCATTAAGCAATACCAGGGGGTACCACCAGGGTAGACCAGATTACACAAGAGCCAAGGACGACAAATTGTTAACAAGTGAACTTGTAAGTACCGAGATAGGTCCAAAAATTCAAGAAGATGCTGACTATAAAGTCAAACTCATTATCAGTGATGTTTATGAGTTGTTTCAGATCTCTGTGTCGTATAAGAAGGCATGGTGTGCACGGTTATTAGCCATCCAATGATTGTATGGTACTTGGGAAGGGTCGTACAACAAGTTGGCTCCTTTGCTCAGTGCAATTATGGGGTCAAACCATGGAACTGTTGTTGATTTGCAAACACAATCAACCCATTCACCAAATTGTTTTCAGTTCAGGTATGTATTCTGGTCCTTCAAGGAATGCATAGATGGATTTTACTGTTGTCTTCCAGTTATTTCAGTGGATGGAACTCACTTATACAACAAGTATAAGGGATGTTTATTACTTGTGATGACAACAACGGGAAATGGTGAAATTTTTCCCCTGGCTTTTTCCATTGTGGATGCTGAGGATGGTGCAAGTTGGAAATGGTTCATGACAAATGTCATGCATCATGTCGTACCCCCACACCGCCATGTATGCATAATATCTGATAGACACGATGGTATTGACCATGCATATGCAAATGTTCTAGAGTTGGGTGGAGGTCAAGTGACTCGAAGATAGACCTGGCAAAACTGACCCGGACCCGATAACCCGAACCGAATAACCCGGAACCAAACCCGATTTGACCCGAAAACTGAAGAACCGAAATAGACTCGAACACCCAAAATGACCCGAGCCGAACCGAACCGAATGTATTCAGATCCGAATCCGATTAAACTCGAACCGATAAAACCCAAACCCAATTAAACCCAAAACCGATTAGACCCGAAATTGATTAAATTTTATGTATGTCTGTGTTAAATAATAAAATAACTACGGAGTATATCATAAATTGATTAAATTTATTATGTGATTTTAATGATTTATTAGTAAATATTTGATATATATTTGAACTAATATAAACCTAAATCGATACAAACCCGAATCGATATAAACTCGAACCGATACAAACCCGAACCGATATAAACCCGATCCAATACAAACCCGAACCTAAACCAAAAACCAGTTAACCCGAAATTAACCCGAAACCGAACTGATCCGAACCAAACCGACCCAATCCGATTATAACATATATCCGAATGAGACCCGAACTAGAACCGAACCGATTGACCCGATTGCCAGGTCTACTCGAAGATATTGTCTCCGCCACCTATGAAGAAATTTCTAGAAGAAGTTCCAAAGTAAGAAGCTACAGACCTTAATGTACAAAGATGGTAAGGCCCCAAACAGAAGTGACTTTGACCAGTTGCTCCTCTGAATAGCGTCCAAAAATCAAGAAACTTACAACTGGCTTAATGTCATTCCAAAACACATGTGGGCATTGTCACATGATGAAGGTGGCGCACGTTATGGTATAATGACTACGAATTCGTCAGAAAGTTTCAATAATGTCCTTAAGCGATGTCGTTATTTGCCTGTATATGCCATTGTGAAGTTCAACTATGATAAGTTGGTCAAACTTTTTGGTGTGAAGCCGCCGGAGCTAGCCACAAACCTCGCCAGAAGTTTCGCCGGAAAATTCTCGAAACCATCGATAAGCTTCGACGTAAGCCCGTAGATATATCTAGTGACTAGAATGTTCATATAGATCGTTTCTACGTTCATAAACGGTCGTTTGGTTAAGTTTTGTGTTTGACAAGCTTGAAGAACTAAGAATCATAAACCATGAAATTGATGTTAGAACTATGAATTAATGATGCCAAAATGATCTATGAACCTTGGAGAACATCTTTATATAGTTTCGTTGAAGTTCGATAACTAAAAACTGTATTTCCGAAATTGGACCCGAATGAAGTAGAAGATGAACAATGGCTGAAACACCACTGTCGGGATCAATCCAGGGGCTTGGATCGATCCCCTAGGAGTGATTCTTCAAAGTATGGATCGATCCAGAGGGCTGGCACGATCCCCCGAAGTTCTGATCTGAAAATTTGCCCGAAATTGCTATTTTTGAGCTCTAAAATCCTATTTTTGATACCAATTGATTATAATTATTTTAAGGATGATTCTTTACAATAAAAATTATGTTTTTAACAAATAAAAATGTTATGTGATGCATGACGGTAAGTTTGGGTGTTAATACTCGAAGCTAGGCCGCTATTTGCTATCGAATGATATGTTGATTGATGATTATGATGAATGATTATTATGGTTGTGACTTGATAAAACCATTGATTAAAATGATTATTGAGGATTAAATTATGAATTGAAATGAATATGTTGATGATTATGAAATGATTTGGATTCTAAGGATATCTAGAAGAACTCTAAGATATACCTAGGTTGACGTTGGTTTCTAAGACTATCTAGAAGACCTCTAAGATAGTTCAGAAATAGGCCTTGCGGGTATAATTATGAATATTCGGTGGCCTGGGTTAAAACGTACGTACGGGATCTACAAATCAAACTAGAGGAACTCGTTTGGGGATACCACCCAACCCGACAGTTAGTATTCTACTATTCGGTTTTATGGATTTGTACTTAAGCGAAGGCTAGTTTAAGAGTTTGTAAATCGGTCAGAAAATATGTACCTTAAACTAATGACCTAGCTTAAGAGTTGGTTAAAAGTACCTTAAACTGGAATATAGTTTATCTATATTAAACTAGAATTCGTTTAAGAGTTGGTATACATCAGACAGATTGGCCTTAGACTAAGAATAGTTTAAGGATAGTGTTGAATGACAAATGATGAACATTGTATGACGAATGTTGAATAAAAATGTTGAATATGAATGATGAATATACATGTTGAATGATTGAATAATGAATGTTGAAAATTGAATATTGATTATTGAATATCTGAACCAAACATTATGTTTATGATATCAAATGATTTGATTATGAATTGAGATTCTGTTTGTATGGATGTTCGACGCATTACATATGCTTACTCACCTTTACCGCTGAGCGTGTAGTATGTTTTATTTGTTACACGCAGGTTAATAGAAAGAATGAATGTGACGTGATCCTGGAGGCAGACGGAGGCGAGATTGTCGGAATGGATGTGATGGTTTTAATTATGTTTGTGATTATGATTTGTTAAGCTTCCGCAATATTGTTGAATACTCCGTACTGTATATGTTATAAAAAAAATATTATTGTGATAAATAAAAGTGTTTGAAAATTTTTTAAATTTTACGATTACCAAATTAATACTTTAGTCTGAAAGGGGCTGCAGACCTAGACGGATTAGGGTGTTACAAGTTCAGATTTGCAGCTTATGAAAATTCAAAGATCTACAAGGAGCGAACCAAACAACTTCACGACAAGGTAATCTCTAGGCGAGATTTTGCACCGGGAGATCAGGTACTTCTTTATAACTCTCGCTTTAAATTATTCCCTGGTAAGCTGAGGACCCGGTGGTCCGGACCA